GTATCAGGCTCTTCACATGCATTGTCTTACGTACTCTGTCCAGCAAATTTATGTGAGGTAGGCACTACTGTGATCCCATTTTAAGTCTGAGGAAAATGAGGTCAAGGACACATAGCTGGTAAGTGGAACAGCCAAGATTCAAATAGTCTCAGCACAGAACTCATACAGTTAACCAATGGCAGTTTAAATTTGTGGCTCTGAAGAACCTGTGGGATGTCACATAGAGCTGTCTTGTGTGCAGGTGAACATGCTGATGTGGAATTCAGGAGCTATCTTCTGAGCAATAAGGATCTGGGAGGTCAGCTGGAAATACTGAATAAGAGTTTAAATTAAAAAAAAAAAAGGATCTAGGAGGTTCTGGCGACAGTGGCTCATGCCTGCAATCCCAGCACTTTGGGATCCCAAGGCAGGCAGATCACAAGGTCAGGAGTTCGAGACCAGCTAGGCCAATATGGTAAAACCCCATCTCTACTAAAAATACGAAAAAAAAAAATTAGCCGGGCATGGTGGTGAGGGCCTGTAGTCCCAGCTACTCAGGAGGCTGAGGCATGAGAATCGCTTGAACCTGGGAGGTGGAGATTGCAGCGAGCTGAGATTGCACCACAGTACTCCAGCCTGAGCGACAAAGCAATATTCCATTTCAAAAAAAAAAAAAAATCTGGGAAGGAGGAGGTGCATACCAATAGTTCCAGTTACTTGGGAGGCTGAGGTGGGATAATTGTTTGAGGCCAGGAGTTCAAAACCAACCTAGGCAACAAGTGAGACCCTGTCTTTTACCTAGGCTGGAGTGTAGTGGTGCAATCTCAGCTCACTGCAACCTCCACCTCCTGGGTTCAATCAATTCTCCTGCCTTAATCTTCTGAGTAGCTGGAATTACAGGCATGAGCCACCATGCCTAATTTTTTTTTGTATTTTTAGTAGAGACAGGGTTTTGTTGTGTTGGCCAGACTGGTCTCAAACTCCTGACCTCAGGTGATCTGCCCACCTCAACTTCCCAAAGTGCTGGGATTATAGACGTGGGCCACCACACCTGGCCCCCATCTCTTTTTATATATAATTTTAAAAAAAGATCTGGGAGGAATTAAGGCACTGGAGTGAATGAAATAATCCATGAAGGGTCAAAGTCTCAAAACCTACTCCTTCAAAGTGTTATCAACCTTGTTCTATTTTCCTTTGGCTTTTAAGTGTTGCAGAGGAGAAATCTGAAGAAAGCCAGTTTTTAGCTTTGTTTTTGAGATGGAGTCTCGTTCTTGTCACCCAGTCTGCAGTACAATGGCGCAGTCTTGGCTCACTGAAACCTCCGCCTTCCAGGTTCAAGTGATTCTCCTGCCTCAGACTCCCAAGTAGCTAGGATTACAGGTGCCAGCCACCATACCCAGCTAATTTTTGTATTTTTAGTAAAGACAGGGTTTCACCACATTAGTCAGGCTAGTCCCGAACTCCTGACCTCAGGTGATTCCCAAAGTGCTGGGATTATAGCCATGAGCCACTTGCCCAGCCAGCTTTCTTCCCCCCTCTGCCACCTCCACCCCAGACAGAGTTTCACTCTGTTGCCCAGGCTGGAGAACAGTGGCACGATCTCAGCTCAAGCAATTCTCCTGCTTCAGCCTCCCAAGTAGCTGGGATTACAGGGGCACACCACTACGCCCAGCTAATTTTTATATTTTTAGTAGAAATGGGGTTTCGCCATGTTGGCCAGGCTGGTCTAGAACTCCTGACTTTGTGATCTGCCTGCCTCGGGCTTCCAAAGTGCTGGGATTACAGGAGTGAGCCACTGCACTCGCTTTTTTATAAATAACATTTTTTCCCTAACTGGGTCTATTAGTGTTTGTTCTTTATCCCTGAAACTTAATGATTTTCCCAGATTATGTGTTGTTGTTGGTTTCTTCTTAATTTTTCTCAATCCCAGTGATCCCACTGTATTTCCCACCTCCACCTCAGATCTTTTTGCAACCTAAGGAAAGTTTTCTCCAATTGTAATTCTGATTATTGCCTCTAACAGATTTGCTCTGTCTTCCCATGGGGGAGGCCTAGAATTAGAATCTGTAGATGCGGCAGGGCGCAGTGGCTCAAACCTGTAATCCCAGCACTTTGGGAGGCTGAGGTGGGCAGATCACAAGGTGAAGAGTTCGAGACCATCCTGGCCAACATGGTAAAATCCCTTCTCTACTAAAAATACAAAAATTAGCTGGGCTTGGTGGCGTGCACCTGTAGTCCTTGCTACTCAGGAGGCTGAGGCAGGAGAATTGCTTGAACCCAGGAGGCGGAGATTGCAGTAAGCCAAGATCGCGCCACTGCACTCCAGCCTGGTGCCTAGTGACAGAGCAAGACTCTGTCTCAAAAAAAAAAAGAATCTGTAGATGCTCTCCATATATATTATCTTCTCTTACAGAATTCCATCACCTCGTTTCACATTCTTGAAATTTTTCTCATGTTTATCTTCTGATATACTCTTCTGCATCAAGTCTACTTTTTGCCACTTCAACCTTGCTTTTACTTTGGTTATTGTGGGCTATTTTTTTTGAGATGGAGTCTCACTCTGTCACCCAGAGTATAGTGGCACAATCTCTGCTCACTGCCACCTCTGCCTCCTGGGTTCAACAAGTCTCCTTCCCTACTCTCAAGTAGGTGGGACTACAAGTGTGCACCACCATGCACAGCTTATTTTTTGTATTTTAGTAGAGACAGGGTTTCACTGTGTTGCCCAGGCTAGTGGTGAATTCCTGAGCTCAGGCAATCTGCCCGCCTCAGCCTCCCAAAGTTCTGAGATTACAGGTGTGAGCTACCATGCCCCGCTGATTAAAATATTAAATGTCAGCCGGGCGCGGTGGCTAGCGCCTGTAATCCCAGCACTTTGGGAGGCCGAGGTGGGTGGATAATGAGGTCAAGAGATCAAGACCATCCTGGTCAACATGGTGAAACCCTGTCTCTACTAAAAATACAAAAATTAGCTGGGCATGGTGGCGCACGCCTGTAGTCCCAGCTACTCGGGAGCCTGACGCAGGAGAATTGCTTGAACCCAGGAGGCGGAGGTTGCGGTGAGCCGAGATCGCGCCATTGCACTCCATCCTGGGTAACAAGAGTGAAACTCCATCTCAAAAAAAAAAAAAAAAAAAAATATATATATATATATATATATATATATATATATATATGTATATATATTAAATGTCCTTTTTGGAGAATAGAATTAGGTCTTTAAAAAAATTGGGTCCTGCTTCATGGCCTATATATCAAAGGAGTACATTTTGGCTGCAGCAGTTTATTCCTTTTCTCATGTATCACATCCTTTTTCCCCCACAGGATTTTTTGTTTGTTTCCTTGTTTTAGAGACAGGGTATTGCTGTGTTGCCCAGGCTGGTCTTGAATTCTTGGCCTCAAGTTGTTAGGATTTCGGGCGTGAGCCACCATACCTGCTTCCACCAGAGGGTTAAAAAACAAAAACCAAACCAAACAAAACAAACACCTTGTCTGTTCTCCTTTGAGGTTGACTAATTGATCTTTGTTATTGTTTGGAAGTCAAGAGTTGATGGTTTTAAAGATGGAAGTGTTGGACAAAGAAGATATAGGGTCTGCTACTCTTCTTTCTGCCTACAAAGATGGCACTGGAAATGGTTCAGAGGCAGTGCCTGGGTCATTGCCTGTCTCGTTGTCTTAGCTTTTCTTAGTATCCACCTGCTTCAGGACTCTAATTTTTATTTTTTCAACCTCTGTTGTTTGTGACTGTTTCTGAGCCTGATGTGTCTATTTTTCTCTAAATCTCCATGTTTTGGTTTTAATGATTCCATATTTGCATTTCTATTTCACGCTCTGCTCTGTTAACATTGCCCATCTGTACTAATCTGGGTCTGTCTCTGAACACAAATGTCTCTCTCAAGTGTTTCGACCCACCACTCCCTAATCCCTTTTGCTTTTTTTGGAGACGGAGTCTTGCTCTGTTGCCCAGGCTGGAATGCAGTGGCGGCTCACTGCAACCTCCTCCTCCCAGGTTCAAGCCATTGTCCTGCCTCAGCCTCAAAAGTAGCTGGGATTATAAGTGCCTGCCACCTCGCCTCGATAACTTCTCTCCACCCCACCTCCTACGGAGTCTTTGCTCTGTTGCCCAGGCTGGAGTGCAGTAGTGAGATCTCAGCACACTGCAACCTCTGCCTCCCGGGTTCAAGCAATTCTCCTGCCTCAGCCTTTCAAGTAGCTGGGATTACAGGCATTCACCACCTCGCCTGGCTAGTTTTTATATTTTAATAGAGACGGGGTTTCACCATATTGTCCAGGCTGGTCTTGGACTCCTGACCTCGTGATCTGCCCACCTCGGCCTCCCAAAGTGCTGGGATGACAGGCGTGAGCCACCGTGCCTGCCTTTAATTTTTGTATTTTTAGTGGAGACCTGGCTCTCAAACTCCTGACCTCAAGTGATCCGCCCGCCGAGGCCTCCCAAAGTACTGGGATGATAGGTGAGAGCCACCGCGCCCTCCCTTCTGCTTTATATTTCTTCACAGTACTTACCACAGCTTGAGTATTAAATGTATTTGTCTGGCCGGGCGCCGTGGCTCATGCCTGTCATCCCAGCACTTTGGGAGGCTGAGGCAGGCGGATCACTTGAGGTCGGGAGTTCGACAGCAGCCGGACCAACATGGTGAAACGCTGTCTCTAAAAAATAAATTAATTAAAAACAAACAAGTAAATAAATAAACGCTGTCTCTAATAAATAAATAAATAAATAAATAAATGTCTCCTCTCTCTAAAATGTAACTTCTATGAGGGTGGATCCCCAGGAACATAGAGTGTGGTCAACAAACATCTGAGCTAAGCTCTGATTCTCCTATCCTCTCAGTGTCTCCTTTTAATCTAGACAATTGTGCTTCTCACTTTCTCAGTATGGAAATATCTTTCTCAGTCTGGGTCATGTCTTTCGGTTTCTGCCCCAGTGCCAACGCCTCTTAGTTTATCAGCGTGTGGGCCACGGATTAGCAGAGGCCTGAGCTGTGGCGCCGCCGGGCTACGGCGCGTCGTCAAGCCTCAGGCACAGCTCCGAGCCCTCGCTGGTTCTGTTAGGACCCTGCTCCGGCGCGGGCCCCGGCCACATGTCACTTCAGTCCCATAGGTTCTGCCCCACGTCTGTCTCCCTGAGTCTCTCAAGAGCCGAGTCCCGCGCCTCCGACCCCGCGAATACACGTGACCACGCCCGGGGGTGGCCCCTCAGTCAACGCAGCCGCAGTGCCCCACCCCGAGCCCGTCGCTTCCGCCGGCCCGCCTGGCCCCGCCCCATCCACGAAGAACCAATCTGCACGCACGTTGCTTGGCCCCCTCCCCGGCACTCTCCTCGGCGCGCGCCCCTCCCTCCGCCCGCCCGTCTGTCTGGCAGGCAGGCAGGCAGGCAGTCGGCTCGAGCGGCTGTGGGCTCTTCAGGTCTCCCCCCCCGGCGTCTTCCTTCCTCCTCCCGGTCAGCGGCGGCGGCTGCTCCGGCGGCGGCGCGGTCCCTTCGGGAGGGGCGACAGGAGCCGAGCGGCGGCCGCGGAGCGTCGAGTCCAGTGCGGCGGAGGCGGCGGCGGCCCGGCAACCAACATGGCGGCGGCGGCGGCGGCGGCGGGCGCGGGCCCGGAGATGGTCCGCGGGCAGGTGTTCGACGTGGGGCCGCGCTACACCAACCTCTCGTACATCGGCGAGGGCGCCTACGGCATGGTGTGGTGAGTGTCCGTGCCTGGCCACGCCCGACCTCCCCACCACCGGGGGCCGCGGCGGACGCAGCCTCGGCCTCGCCCGTGCCTCGGCCTCGGCAGCCGCGGCGACCTCGAACCCGGACTTCACCGCGGTCCGCGCGCCGGGACTCGGGCGGTGCCCCGGGCCGATTGAGACCCGGGCCCGCGGTCGCTCGGGAAGGGGCGCAGGGAGTGGCGTGGGGGGCGGAGGCCGGAGGCCGGAGGCTGGGTCTCGGGCCCAGGGCGCAACGCGGCCTTTAAAGTCTGGACCCTCGGGAAGGCAACGGAAGCGCCCCCACTCCTCAATTTGCTAACATCATGGCTTGCTTGATTGTAAACTGGGAATTCCATCAGATGCTTGTCGGTGTTGGCGGCGGCTGCTGAGGTCCTGAAAGCGATTTGTCTCCGCGTGTGTGCAGAACACCAAAATAGTCATTTTTTTTCTACTCGCCTCTGCAGCCAACGGCTTTGATTAAATATCCTCAGCGGTGCTAATGGTGGTCTGCGCGCAGGCTTTATAAAATGCATTGCTGACAGCAGTGTTATTTCCGTCTTGAAGTTTTTACTTTAAAGTGGATTTTAATATCACACTATTGGCGTTTCAGGAAGGTTAACTCAGCCTCAGTTTCTTGATTTATTAAAGATCCGTTTAGAGTTGGGCCTAATTTGACTTTTTTTTTTTTTTTAGTCCCCTAGTGAGCTCTTTTACCAGCATAAATGCTCCCAGATGTTTTAGCCCAATTGCTGTGGACTTTAGTGGTCAATAAGTATGCAGCCTTTCTGGAGTTTTTGCAAAATCACATGTAGGCTCCCTCATCTTGATTTAGGTCCCTTAGAAAAGTGAAGTGATGGTGACTGTACTGTTTTTATTAGAGCAAACTAGCTGTAACATTTTGTGCTGGTGAAGACTTGTGGAAGTAGATTCCCTTAAATCTGAATCTTGTGAATGTGTCTTTTGTGTTGACCGAAGGAATTAAACCGATATTTTATTGAGCACTTCATGGTAGGTACTGTGCAACATACATGATTTCATTTTATTTGAACAGCCACATTGAAGGAGGAAAAGATGGTGTTATTCCTTTTTTCAGGTGAGAAGGTATTTCAGGTGATAAAGTATTTTGAGGTGAAGCTCAGGATGAGGTAATAGAACTAAAGAGTTATTCTTAAGATTGTAGAGTGAGATTCTACTTCACACACCACACCTCTTTTCAGCTGTTTTTAGGAAAACACCCTGCTTTCCTTAGGGTAATTAATAATTGCAGAATTTTGTGTATTTCACTGTTATAAAGTAAATGTAAGTCTATTTCAGAAGTGTATTCAGATTTCAATCGTCATAATTTTAGAAATGCAATAGAAGGCATGTTTTGCCAAGTATTGCAGCTAGATAGAAAGATTACTTAAAATTTTTTTAAAGAGACTTTAATTGAATCTTTCATATTTTCACTTTTTTTTTTTTGAGATGGAGTCTCGCTCTGTTGCCCAGGCTGGAGTGCAGTGTCAAGATCTCTGCTTACTGCAACCTCTGCCTCCCAGGTTCAAGTGATTCTTCTGCCTCAGCCTCCTGAGTAGCTGGGATTACAGTATTTTCACTTTATTTAGGCGCAAAATGCTGAATACAATTGTAAAAATTAACATGAACTCACAGGTTTAGGAGCCAAGAGAGAATTTAAATTAGGTCGAGCCTAAAAGAAATAAGGCCCTAAAGCCAGGCGGGGTGGCTCAAGCCTGTAATCCCAGCACTTTGGGAGGCTGAGGGGGGTGGATCACAAGGTCAAGAGATCGAGACCATCCTGGTCAACATGGTGAAATCCCGTCTCTACTAAAAATACAAAAAAATTAGCTGGGCATGGTGGCGCGTGCCTGTAATCCCAGCTACTCAGGAGGCTGAGGCAGGAGAATTGCCTGAACCCAGGAGGCGGAGGTTGCAGTGAGCCGAGATCGTGCCATTGTACTCCAGCCTGGGTAACAAGAGCGAAACTCCGTCTCACACACACAAAAAAGAAATAAGGCCCTAAAAAGTAATGGAGAGGAAGTATTGCCAATAACATCATTTCTGTACCATACATCTCACTGTTGTTGCACTCACTGGGAAGTGTGCCCGTGAACGTGTCTCATTATGAGAGGCTCAGAATTTCCCATCATGTCCTTTGGCCCTTTTAACAAAATTAACTTATCTAAAATGTGGACTGAAAAAAGTCTTTTAAGTTTAGGACACATCACTTGAAAAGATACCCCCATCTGATAAGGTTTCCCCTATCTGATAAGGTTTTTACTAGTCTGAAGTTTAGATCTGGGAACTAATTCTGTCAACTGCTGTAGGCTCGTTTGACCTTCTGACTCTCCGTTTGAATGCTAGGTCCTCTTATTATGATTTTCCTTTCTAACTAAAACACAAATGCAAATATAATTGGGTATTTGAATCCTAGATTCAAATTATAGCCTTTTATCAGGTTGATGACATACCCTATTAACCTTCTCCATTGCACATTATTAGCATTTAATATATATTGGCTAACAGTGCTGGGTTTAAGGAGGGCTTGTTGAAATATTCACTAATATTTCAATAGTGATCTTTTAAAAAATGCTTCCAGATGGATTTATGGATTTCAAGCCATTTTTTTTTTTTTTAGCTTCCCCCACCCGCATTCCTTATCAGTTCATTAGGAATTTGACTATTTTATTTAGAGCCCTTTCCTAATCATTTTGTGGAATGTAACGATGAAGAGTGGGGTTTGAGTTGGGCCTTTAAGAGTGGGTGTGATTTTGATATGCAGATAATTGGAGCAAGTGACAGCTTGAGCTGTGGAATCTAATCCTGGAAATATACTTAGGTGGCAAACTGTAGAGGACTCCAAAGGCAAAACTAAGTTTGACTGTGTATTTATGCAGTGGAGGAAGCATCTATTTATTTATTTATATATATTTTTGAGATGGAGTCTCACTCAGTCTCCCAGGCTGGAGTGCAGTGGCACGATCTCGGTTCACTGCCACCTCTGCCTCCTTGGTTCACGCAATTCTCCTGCTTCAGCTTCCTGAGTAGCTGGGACTGCAGGTGTGTGCAACCACGCCTGGCTAATTTTTTTTGTATTTTTGTAGAGATGGGGTTTTGCCATGTTGGCCAAGCTGATCTCAAACTCCTGATCTCAGGTGATCGGCCCACCGCTGACTCCCAAAGTGCTGGGATTACAGGTGTGAGCCACTGTACCTGGACTTTTTTTTTTTGGAAAAGGCAGTCGTACATGGTCAATTTTGAAATATTTGGGGAAGACAGATAAACACTAGTGGGAATGAAGGAAGATGAATCGGAGGGAGAATAAATTAGGAAAGCATAACCACCTAGACGTGCAGTAATAAAGTGGCAGTGGAAAGCGGCAGGTGGAGGTAAGGAGCTTCGTACAGACAGAAATAGTAATGGACCCTTGTGGGAAAAGTGTGGAAAGACTTTTAATCATGGCAATTATGAGTAGAAGCAAAGGATGATGAGACTTTAAAGGGTAAGAGCCCGAGAGGTGGGATTTGGATTTGGAGGGATTTCTGAGATAGAATAAGGATTGCTGGTTGATTGGCTATGGGCATAGCTGTTCATTCTGAGGCTTGTAGATTGGGAGCCTGGGAAGATGGTGGTGCCATTATTGAAGTAAAGGAATACCGTCAGGCAGAGCAGATTTGTCTGGGAGAAATAGTCTGGTTTGGGTTTGTTACATTTGTAATGCCTGTAGGCCATTCAGGTTATATCTAGAAGCCATCTTAAAAGTTGTAAGAGGGGAGCAGGAACTGGAGATGAAAATTTGTGTAAATGGTAGTTAAAATCTTGAGTGGATGAGCACAGATTCTTATTTGGGTCATTGGTTAGGTGAAATTGCCATCATATGTTTTATATATTTATCTTTTTAGTAAAAAAAAATACATAGCATTTGATAGATTTTCAAAGGAGTCTATTATCCCAGAAACATTAAGAACCACTGAGGTAGAACAGAAGGACCAACCAGGTAACTCTGACAAAGGAAGAGGAAGTTATGACTGGTGAGATACATAAGAGAACAGTGTTGACCGGGAGAAATGAGAGAAAGATTGAAACACTCTTGGTATGATTGGTCATCTTCAACTAAGATACCAAGTGTCTATTTCAGATAAGTTAAGTTTGAAATATTGTTTCTGAATGCAACAAGAGAGCTCATGGGATCATCTCCATAGAGATACTAATTGATGCCTTGAGATTGGATAAGATAAGGTATCTGAGAACTAAGCCAAAGGATTGCCTGCCTTTACTGTGTCAATAAAGGGCAACTTATGGAAGAGGACAGAGGAAATGTGGTCAGAGAGGCCAGAGAACTGGGAGTGCACATTATCAAAGGTGGCAAGGGAGATGGTACTCATTAGGGATCAG